TATAATTAATAAAAATTTGCATTGTAGGTAAATTAAACTAAATAACTACAATTAGGAGAACTTAGCATTAACATCATTAAGTTACAATCGAAATAATGAAAAAACTGGTATAAGTTGAGTATCATAACTAAGAAAAATTAAAATGCGCATAAATGTAAACCAAGGAAAAATTGAAACCAACATTAAAACCTTTGAGAACTTATATTTAAGAAACATTACGCAATGTTTATAAGAAATTAATAATAATTAATAACTGAACATTAATAACATAACATAAATTTAATTAAATAACTGCAAACTAAAATTATTAACTAACATTAAGTTATAATTCATGGAAATGTATGATTTTTAAAACACCATTTATATTAAGTGATAAATATAGAATTATTTTACTTCATTTTTGATAAATTGTCTGAAATTAAATAACTTAAACTTAAATCAAGAATAAATTTTTGAAATTTTAAGATAATAACTTTCAAAAAAGCACGTGCTTTCCTCTACTAATCAGCATTATAATCAGCTTGTTATAAATAATTTGCAAATAAGAGGCGATAAAGGATAATCCTCTTGCACCCCTCTCCAAGCTTCATCTTAGTTCTTCACCCCTCAGATTTTGACAGTTGAAGATTGATTAAGGATTACGCCCACTGAAGAGGGGGAGAATTCGTGTGACGAAGGAGCTCGCACACGCGTAAGCCCATAAAATTGAGTCGCGTATTCAACGACGGTTACAAATTAAAATAAAGTATTAGTATAACTGAAACAAAAAGTTTGTTCCCCAATTCAAACAATTTTTGGGAAAATTAGATACTATCTACCCAGACTTATATGGGTATATAAAACTATGTATATAAATAAATAAAAACCTACGTACAACGGTTTAGGTCAATGAGATGAATAAAGAAGTTATCAAGCTCAAAATTAGCAGTTATTTGCAGAGAAAAAAAAGTCTTACTTTAGGCCTCCAAAAAATCTTTTAATAACTACTTTAAATATATATACAAAGAACAAATTGTATATTGAATATGAACAGATGAAATATTGTAAAAATGAATATATCTTTCTCGCTAACATGAAATTTACTAGGGCATTGGTAATTACCAATTATCTTGGAAATTAAGCATTCAGTTTTGTCCCCAATTTCTCAAAAAATCCGTTTAGATTTGTCCGAAAAACTTAAACTGCAGATGAAATAGGAGTATTTTCGGCATGAAATATTAAAATTTATATCAACTATTTCACATTATATGTATAAAAGGTATATTTGACACACAGGCATATGTAGTAAGTATTCAAGACCCATAACACTTAATTGAACAAACACACTCAGTTTTTCATTAGAAAATAAATTCCTTTTTTCTATATCAAAGCATAGTGTTAAAAAAAGTCATTCTTCATTTTTTTTATCTTTGATTAAAAAATCAGTTAAAATAATACAAAAAAGTTTTTTGATTTTAAATCTAAATTTACTAATTACTTTGAGATTGATTCCGAAATTAAGGGAAATACATTATTGCTTTATTACATAGTTTTACTTTGGACAGCATGCACCTCTAATCATTCATCAGATGTTATTAATACCTGTTACAGCATGATTCATTTTCTAAGTTGGTGATAATTTCAGGCTCCCATGTATGTTCTAAAGAACAGCTGTAGTAAATAAGTTTTTACTTTTTACAAAGTATATGAAACATATATCAATGATGGTAATTACAGAACACCGTGTATCCTTGTAATAGCTTTAAATTAAAATGAAGTTTCAGCATTCTATTTTTTAGTTTAAACTTCTTAGATTAATAAATGTCATACTCTTCGATTAATTATGTCAACGTGGTAATGCAAATATAAATATAAAATTAGTAAAAGTTTTTAAGATAAGGATTATATATTTAATAAAACACCGAGAACGACAAATACAACACATTGTCAGAGCTACCAGCAGAAATCATGCTTTTTTTTTTCATCCTGATGATAATTACACTTCTACAATAAATATTTTATTAGTAATACGTCAGATATTTTATCAAATAGCTTTACTTAAAAATATTATTTTTCTAACTAATAAGATATTTCAATAGAAGTCCTGTCAAATTAATCTCGACATTAATCAAAAATTGCTTATTTCAAAATATATTCTAATAATTACTTGCTCTTTTGTTTATTTAAATGCATCCAATCAGAAACCTTCGAAAAGCATGCGAACAAGGAGACAATTTTTTATGTAATGTCTAGTAATTGTTTCCTTTTTTGTTGACTCTAGAAAGCGTCTGCGCAAACGTCTGTTTTTAAGAAACATAAGTGACTATGTTTCTGTACATAATCGCAGTAACTCGCATATCTAACTTTTGCAGAAGAGTTTTAAAGATGTCAACTTGATGAATCCAAAAATTTCGAAACGTTTCTAATGGATGATCGAAATTTATAAAAAAACAACGTTCTGTAAGTAGAAGGCTTTCAATTTTTGTAATGAAATTTTTTAAATATATTATTAATACTTTTTAGCAAACCATGTTTTGATTTCTGTAACCTAAACATTCATATATGTTATTTAATGTTCAGAGTTTGAAAGAAATAAGTTTTATACAAAAATATAGATCTAGTTTAATCATATGTTTACGAATCAAAAAAAATTTAAAGGCACTTTAAAATTAGTTTAAAAGAGATAAATTAGCAATTTTCATTTTAACTTTGGCATGACAGTTCAGGGTAGATCTTGTTATATAAGCAAATAATATATACACTCAGAAAAAAAAAATTATGATCAAAGCTACCAGAGTACAGTAAAGTTTGTTTACAGTAAAGTTTGCCGAGTTTCTGGTTCTATGGGAATACCAAAAAGAAGATAATATAATCAAAGCACTTTGGTAATGATTTTGATAAAATTATTAAACAAAATATAGTTTTATAATATATGTTAAAATTTGTTAAATGTGTTGCAATTTGGTAATTTTATCATGATAGTTAAGAGCCTGGCTTAAAAACCATTTATACGGTTAAATTTACTTTTCAGTTTTGTATTTTTTTTTCTTTCTAAATGTGTGGTATTAAGAACTATAAGTTTGAAAACAGAATTTCCGGTAAACCGTTACCATAAGAACAAGAAAATTAACAAATGAATGGTTTAAATACCGTATATTTTGGTTTTATTAAACAGAATTATGGTTTCCGTTTTTTTACCAGAAATGTCATTACCATACAGAACGGTAATTTTACCTGCACCAGTTACTGGAATAACTTTTTTTCCAATTATTCGATTTTTAAGTACTGAAATTCATTCTTCATAGTTAAATAATTCAAACAGTTGACTCTAAATATGCGAATTAGTTATTATAAATGAATAAGGAAAAGTCACTAAATCAGATACGAAACTTTCCTACTTTCTCTGAATCGAGATACTGTTTTTTAGACGAATTCAGATTCTCAATCACCAAAATATGAAGAGTAACACCATTTTTAAATTTATTCCCAATAGTTTGGCGGTTAAAAGATAGCGATTAAGAATTTGACCCCTTTAATATTAATTTCACTTTTCGAGTGATTCGCCATATCTCGAGATCCTGTCGATTGAATCGAAAGAGCCGTGAGGGCTCAGGAGATAGAGCGTTCACCTTCCAATGAAGTGTCCGGGTTCGAATCCCAGCGATGGATAGTCGATACGAATTCCGCATCCGGCTTGCACCGACCACAGTGCTGATGTAAAATATCCTTAGTGACAGACGGATGATGGGTTAGAGTTTCCTTGTCGTCGGTCTAACCGTGGGAGATTTTCGTGCTATTCCTCTCCATGTAACGCAAAAGCGGGTTAGTTCCATTAAAAGTCCTCCACGGTTCCTCCTTGGTTTCAAAATAATTAGGCTACGGAGTTGAACGTTAGTAGTTTTAAACCAAAAAATTGGATTGGTAGTTCAACAACGGTAATAAAAAAAATTTTGGCTGTCTCAAATTTCTAATTTCAGGAACATGGCAAAATTCGCAGGCTCACGATCATTTTGCTCATTGCAGATGACGTTATTTAATTGCAGCACCACTAGTTTACGTATTGCAGTTTTACTTAACAACTATTATTTGACAACATATTCAAATTTCATTGAAGTTGGCCTATTTTTGGGAGAGTTTTTCTTCATGTTTCTTTAATTTATGATTAAGTCCTCCACGAAGGCAAATACTTTATCCAGGAGCTCCCTTATCTTCTAGATTAGGATTAAAATTACAAGGCTACGGAGTTGAACATTAGTAGTCGTAAGCCCGATTCGTGGGTCAGGGGTCAGCTGTTCAACGTCGGTTATAAAATAAAATAAAATTGAATCAAAAACATTTTGCATACAATTATAATCTGAAGAATTAGGTTTTGCTATGACTTCAGATTCAACTTTTTGGTGTTGTATTTTTGCGCTCTCTAGTTATAGTAAATTGTGAAGTGTCCAGCCAATAGCAGCATGGCCTACAGCTTTATTGTTCGCCATGTACCTATAAACACAACACATCTTCATTCTAAAGGTATATCGTATTATGAGTTATAAAACTTTTATTATTTTCATCTTTGTTTATATTATTATATTCTTTATATCACCTCCGTGGACTATTAAGTTTGAGTCCTAGTACGAGAAAATCCAATTACTAGAACAAAGTTATAAACAGAATTAATTATTCATTTTTTGAGCATTGTACATAATATTGGGCATGTATACACAGTTAAAAAAAATCTGCATCAAATCACGGTATAAAATACCGGCACTTAGGGTGCATTATTCGTAAAATCCATTTTTACAGTAGAATATTATACCACAATCTTTACAGTAATAATTATTTAATTAGAGTGATAAAGTGATTTTACAATAATTTTTGCTCGAAAAATTACGGTACGTCAGATTCTTTGTTGGTAAAAATGGATTTTGAGTTAAAAAAATACCGGCACCCTGAGTACCGCTACTTTTTACCAAAATTTGATCCAGAATTTTTTACAGTGTAATGCAATCCAGGTTGAATATTTCAATTTTATTTTTTTCCAAGTCTTTTCAATCTACTTTGAAAAAAGCATGAGCAACTACTATAGTCGTTAGCGTTAATATATACTAAAAGATTCGTAAGTGATCCTTTTATAATATTTTTCAATTTGAAAATTTTAAATGGATTCTTAAATAAAGGAAGAATACCTCAGATAGAAACTACTATAATGAATAATTTTTTAATTGATATAAAATTTTAAAAAAAGTAAGAATTATTGCTTTTAGCTATCAACGACTTTAACTCGTCCTATACATAAAAGGATCTTTAAGATCTCACCTTATAAAACAAATAAAGATTTTCAGAAACAGCAATTTTTTCCTATACTATAATAATATTTTTTTTAAATATTGATGTTAGATTTATCCTAATTTTTATTGTTTTTTTTTTTAAACTTAAAAAATTAGATAACTTTTAAAAGTTGTATATCATCTCGCACAAGATATTTTTAATATAGATATGACTAAAGCAAAACTATCAGTATTAAATATAGAAAATGTTCGTCTCTAAAAGTGGGATTGACGTCAAAAACAATATTTTTCATTTTTAAAGCCTTTCTTTCATAATAATTTTTTGTTATGCAAACATGATATCAAAAGGAAGAATTAATGTCAGAATTTCATAGATGGATAAACAGTTTGAGTTACTACTTTTTTGTGGGAAGCATTTTATTTTATGCTAAGTTTTATGTGATTTTTTTAAGTAAAAAGAGAATATCTGAAGGAAAGTTTGAAATTTGTAATACGCAAAAGCTTAGATAGTAAGTATTTGTATTTAAATATAAACTTTGCAATTCATTTTGATTTTTAAATCTGCTTTGAAACTCTCTGACATTAAATTGATTTACAATTATCTGAGAAGGAAATTCTGGTAATATTTCTATACTGCATCTTAAAGACATTTCTAGAACAAAACAATCCATAATTATGGCAATAAAACCAAAATATACGGAATTTAAACCATTCATTTGGTAATTTTCCAGTTTATGTGGTAGTGCTTTGCCGGAAATTCTAGTTTTTTAAATTATAGTTCTTTTTACCACACATTTAAACATTCGACAAAAAATGCAAAACTAAAAAGTAAATTTAACTGAATAAATGGATTTTATGCCATGCTCTAAGGCTAAGGTATCATGATAGAATTACCTAATTTTACTTCATTTGCCAAATTTCAGCATGTAAGACAATATTTTATTGCTAATTTTAGCAAAGTGCTTCGGTAAAAATTACCGTGCTTTATGGTATTCCCATAGAGTCAGAAGCACTCTAAATTTTACCATATTCTGGTAGTTTTGATCATATTTTATTCTCTATGTATAAAATAAGACAGAAATAGGTTATACATTTATTAAAAAGTAAATATATAAATAAATAAATAAATAAAATAAAAACACATTCGTTATTCCCATTGCACTTTTCAATTCAAAATAAAATAAGTAAATCATCAATAAAAAACGTTTGACTGATAGACAACATTTTTAATACTTGTTTGTTTTCCTTTCAACGAAAACCATACAGCTGCTTATTTTATTCATTTTCAGTTTATACATAAAGTAAAAACAAATTCAGGTTTTAACCAGAGGCCACTCTGGGATTGATAATTTAATTATCGGACAAGACTATTATTGATAAGACAATGGAAAAATTCATTCGCCTTATTATATATTTTCAAAATAAATCTTTTCCTTGATTTATACTTTCACAATTTCTTTTCATACTTCACTTTTAAGATTATTTGGAGTTTCATGGTAAAACAAAAATTAAAAAATTGGGATTTGCTGCACTAAGCAACTACATTGAAAAAAGAAAAGTTTAAAGGTATAATACAGAAGTGTCCAATACATAAGAGAGCACATGAGAGGGGCACGAGGTAGAAGAAAATGTAACTAAGCACTTTTTTTCCTTCCTTTGCATTTAGAGAAGTCAATTTTGCATTTGGAAAAATGATATCTTAAAAAAAAATTTCATTACAGTTCAAAATGAAGAGAGAACTCAATTATCTTGCAACTTTCCTATCAAACACTTGTCATCATTATTCTCATAGGAGTATGAAAAATCATATGAGTTTTTAAATAACACTTATTTTAATCAAAATAAGTAATACGTTTTGCATTTTCTTAAGGGATCTAAAATCACGATACAAATATTTTTAATTTTGGAATGTACTCATAGCATCTTCATATATAATGCTATAATAAAGATATGTTGCAATAAAATTGTTTCTTTGATAGAAGAATTTTCAGTATTGCATGAGTTCAGTCATTTCACGGTACTATTGAAATCAATAAAAATATTCTACTAGAGTAGAATAACGTAGAAGAGATAAGCATTTCTTTTTCTCACTAAGACGTGTTTTATCTATGTTCTTCGGTCTTTTCAATGAGAGTCCGACATCCTACTTCATAAATAAAGGAAAAGACGATGCATCATTAAATT